CTCTCTCTCTCTCTCTCTCTCTCTCTCTCTCTCTCTCTCTCTCTCTCTGATAGTTGTATTTTAGAATTGTTTATAATTTGGTTAAAACAGTTTAACTATTTTAATTTTATAATTTCGTTAAATTATGTTTTTGTTATTTTTCTGTTTGATAAAGTAGAAATGTATCAAAAAAGACATCCAATATAATACTAACAAGAGAATTATTGTGATCCGGACCCGACGGGCTCCGATCCAATCCGCTTAATTACTTCATTCTAATTACTTGGTGTACCTAGTGATATTGGACCCAATCAATCAAAAACACATTTCAATCTGTTATTTGCTTTTATTGCAATGATCAACTTTCACCCATTCGTAACCTTGACTTGGAAGAAATATGCGATTACCCTTCAATTATCTTGAGAAAATCGATCCGATCAAGCCGTAATTTCACATAAAATCATGCACCCCTTACCCTGCCAATCTTCGACTCGATGTGCACAACGACTAGTAGCATTTTTTCAGAGAGAGCATTTTATCGGGTTTGTGACCGATTGCGGATTAGCAATTTTGCCTTTGTTTTTATAGAATTGTTTAACTTTATAAATGGATTTTTGGACAAATCTTATGGAGTTTAATTGTTTAGAATTGCTTAATTAGTTTAATTTTATATTTGGTTTTTTTTTATTTGGTTACATTTTGTTTAATTTTAGGGTTGGTTGAAAAGGGGAGGAAGGAGATAAAGTCATTTTGTTAACTTGTTTTTTAGGTAACTGTATAATTGTTTAATTTTTGTTCATTTTATACTTGATGTCTAGAGTAAAATCTTATTTTGTTAACTTAGTGTATGTATTGGTGAGGCGTTTGTAATTGTTTATTTTAAAATATTATGTTTTTTTTGTAAAAATATTTATTATCAGGTGTTAAAATGAAGCTGTTTTAGGGATTAGTTTATCTGGTGTCAAAACGTAATAAGTTTATTTATGTCAGTAAGTATGAAGGAAGTAACTTATCAAAAACACTTATTTAAGTCAAAAAAATGTTTTTAATGTTCTCTTATCCAAATACTTTAAAATAGTTTATAACTATAGAACCTTAGAAGCCGACAAAAACATGTCATATAGATGATCAGTCTTAGAAAACCCTAGAAGACAACAAAAAACCTAGCCCCAAGAAACCTAGAATAGAGCAAAAACCTCACAAGTGCTTCAAAATCACATCATTTCACGCACTCACGTCATCGGTTAGGCTAAATGCACATGTGTAGACTTGACCCATCTATTGATACACTTAAAACATTTAAAGACCTATCAAACAAAATACATTATAAATCCACTGGATATTTCTTCCTCTGCCAATATGAGAAATTAAAAAACTTGCCAACTTCCAAATCCCATTGAATTTCCAAGATTACTTGCACTACAAATAAAAATACATATCTATTCAGTATAAGACCACAAATATGTGGGTCCATTTTACTTGCCAATACAAGTTATTTGCTAGTATTTCCCGGTTTTTTATTTTTCTAATGTTTTAGTCTATTTGATTGGTTTGTATTGTCTCTTATTATTATTATTATTATTATTATTATTATTATTATTATTATTATTTATTATGCCTTGCTCATACACTTGTAATCTCGGCCCATAGCCTTTTCCAGTTATATAGTATCATTTGAAATCAATAAATAATCATTCAAGACACATGTTTGAAATTTTATTTGAAAATAACTCAACTTTAAAACTTTGGTTATAGTAAATACAATTTTGTTTTAAATACATCACTGAGCAGTAAGACCGATGATATATTTATGTTTAATTTACTGAAAAAAAAAAGGTTGGAAGTTTTAATTAAATACATATGTAGCATTTAAGAGGAGTATGATTTAATAATACGTGAAGTGGCGAAATATTTTTTTGTCAATATAAGATGTTTTAGATCTCCTCATTAGCAATGAAATCCATTTCTGGTGATTTACTTCAAGAATGTTAAATGTTTAAGGAACACCAATGAAGTTCGATCTAATGGGATAACACCATTGACCACTTTTGTGCATTTGTCTTAATTCTCTAAGAATGAATCACGTAACTTCTTGCTAGTATCAATGTGTAAATAAATTAGAAGATAGCAGACCATAAATATGCATTATACGAAACTTGTTATGTGTATGATATGTTAAAAAAGATACTATACGCCTCTTTTTATCTTTTTGCATTTAATAACAACAGTTGATTTACATATGAAAACTCAGATTGGATGGTTAAAAAGGTCACTCTTACCTTCTCCTATAAATGTCTTTTCTCATCTACTTTCACTTTCACTCTCACGTTCTTGGTTGTGGTTGTTCATGGCTAAATTCAACACCTTTTCGCTCTTCTTTCTCTCTCTTGTGATCATGGCTTCCATGGCACCTCCATCACTCTCAAGGACCCTAGTTTCATCATATTCTTCTTCAATGGATCCTCATCATTCCAACGCAGCCCACGTTCAGTATTTGTCAGGGTACACGACACATTCAAGAGCTCGGTCGGAATTCAAAGATGATGCTCATGAAGTTCCAAGTGGACCAAATCCCATTTCAAACAACTCATGGTGGGGTAAAATTAGGAAATATTGGTAAAGATTCACGAATTGAATACCCAGATAAATGTTATATTGCTATATGATAATTTATAGGAGTATGTTATGATGCAGAATAATGTACAATCGAATTGTATTGGTGTTATAAATAATATATGTTTGATCATTTTTCCTAGTTTTATTCTTTTGTTTTAGATGATATCGTTGATACAAAACATTTAGAAAAAAAAAATTAATTATTCAAACGACGAGCATACGATTAATTTCAAACAAGTTATGGTTGACTGAAACTAAGAAATATTGGTCAAGATCCAGGAATTGAATACCGAATAAATGCTATATGATAATTTATAGTAGTATGTTATGATGCAGAATGATATACATGTTTTTTTTCGTAGTCTTATATCTTTTGTTTTGCCATTCTCAAGAGTGCACAAATGCTAACAATCAATAATATTTATTTTAATTTAATGAAATGTATTACATATTTGCCTTATTTAAACCGTTCGAAAATCACACCCATAAGATACAAGAAGTTCGTAATAATATTACGAATATGATATTTGATGCATAAAATTTCATTTAGATATAAATGTATTACATTTAGATATAAATGTATTACATATTTGTCTTAGAATCATTTTTCTTACATACCTTTTTAGATTTACCATACTTCATTTTTCATTGGATATCATGCCAAACATCATAGATTCATAGTCTTATCACATATAGACTATTAAAATGACAACCTTCTTAAAAATGTGATTTCCCCCTTATTTCAAACAACGGATCACCATCCATTTACCGCTTATTTCAAGCAAGCAATTTTCATCAAATAAATTTCACTTTGTCCAAAAAACGTTGTAACAGGAAAATGACCGCCTACAAGATTGGAGTAGCTAGGGTTTAATGAAACTTAAGTTAAAATTATGTTATATACATTTGTTGCTCGTGCACGATATATATGATTACTTTTAGACAAAACTTCAAAAATGGTCCCTGTGGTTTCACAAAATCTGAAGTTTGGTCCCTAATTTACAAAAACCTCACGGATCATCCATGTGGTTTCAAAACTTTTAACATTTGGTCATTCCGACTCACTCCGTTACCATTTAGTCGTTAAGTAAGGGACATTTTTGTCATTTCACTATCCAAGGACCATTTATGAGGTTTTCTATTACTTTTAATAAAAATAAATAAATAAATAAATAAAATTTAATATACAGGGTCTCTCTCTCTCTCTCTCTCTCTCTCTCTCTCTCTCTCCGGATTCCTGCACAAATCTTGTGAAAACAATTGTGGGGTTGTTCCTTCATCTCCCTCCAATCTGCATCCCTAAAACTGAAAACCCTCTTTCATAATTCTATCTCTTTCCCTTTCCTCGCTCTTGCCTTTCAAACCCCTTTTCTCTATCAACCAACACCCCCCGTCATCATGTAATCACCAACGACCAATATGCCTGAGCTAGAATCACTTCGCCGGAGGAACCGATTGTTACTCCGATGGGACTCCATCGCGAGTTAATGCTGAAGCATGTTGCTGTCATCATTGACGGAAACAGAAGATGAGCTCGGTCAAGAGGATTGATGTCTCAGGTGGGCTACGTGATCGGTGCCAGAGCATTGAAGTTCGTGGTGGATCTGTGTCGTAAGTGGGGAATCCCAGTTCTTACAGTCTTCGCCTTCTCAGTTAAGACCCAAAGTATGTGTAATATCGAAATTGGATTCCAATTTCATTAGAATTTTGTGGGTTCAGTCGATTGATTGGTTGTGTTTATGTAGGCCGAAGCCGATTTCTTAATGAGACTGCTTGAAAACACATTAAAAGATGAAGTTGCTTCTATGTCGAGGTAATTGACTAATTTCCACCCCTTTAAATAAGTTTTCGTTCAATTTCAATCCACTTTCAAAATGGAATTCCGATAACATGGATGAAATCCGAGTTTCTGTCATTGGAGACATATCTAAGATTCCACAATCATTATGAGATTTCATTACACATTGTGAGAACCCTATTCTTGGTAACTTACGAGTCGCGATGGGTGGTTCTTGGTAGCTACTAGTCACGGTCCAAGGGTAAAGGATAAAGGTTGGTGGTTGTTTGTGGTGGTGTTCTGTGCCAACAGGGGGTAGAAGGTGGATTGACGGTGGATCCGTTAAAGCTTAGACATAAGCTGAAACAAGAGAGAGAGAGAGAGAGAGAGAGAGAGAGAGAGAGATGGGGTGGGACCCCTTGCATATTAAATTTTATTTATTTATTTATTTATTTATTTTAAAAAAAGTAATAGAAAACCTCATAAATGGTCCCTAGGTAGTGAAATGACAAAAATGCCCCTTACTTAACGGCTAAATAGTAACGGAGTGAGCCGAAAGGACCAAATGTTAAAAGTTTTGAAACTACAGGGACGATCCGTGAGGTTTTATAAATTAGGGACCAAACTTCAGATTTTGTGAAACCACAGACCATTTTTGAAGTTTTGTCTTACTTTTATTATTGATCATCTACCATTTCATAAACTGCTAACTCACATACCCTTTAATTTATTTATAATATATATAACAAAAACATAAACCTTCAATAAGGTTGAGTGGCTCATTGCAAATAACTTTTGATACCGCCAAGTCATAAACCTTTTGGCATTGTTAATTGGCCTCTTTAAGGGAGGAGGGAGTCATTCCCTCCCAACCCACTGTCACATCATTTTTTTTCTTTTATTTTTCTTCATCTTTCCCAACCCACAATACACGGAAACCCTATCTTTTTCAACCCATTCAATTAAAAAAAACTACAAAACAATCAAGGTAAAATCTTGATTAGCAATAGAGTTACCGCCGGTACCACTCCCGCTTCAGCGGGTTGTTTAATTGGTTTCACTAGCCCACTTCATCATCTCTCTCTACTTTCTCTCTCTCTCATTTTCTCTTGTACCATGTGTTTTAAAACTTGTACCTTAATTGTTTTGTATTTTTTTTAATTGAGTGGGTTGGGTGGGTTGAGAAATATAGAATTTCCGTGTGTTGTGGGTTAGGAAAGATGAAGAAAAAGAAGAGAAAAAAATTGATGTGACAGTGGGTTGAGAGGGAATGACTCCCTCCTCCCTAATAGGATTTAAGATTTAAGATTCGTTTTAGTATACTATAAGTTATTATAATTTCATGATTAATGCATGTTTAGAGATGTAACTTGTGATTAAACACTCCATGTATGCCTAAAAACACATAATTTAGATAACCCCAGTTAGATCTTCATATCAACATATTCAATTATACGGTAAATCATTTATGCAACCTACTTAAAAAATTCAGTAACACATGATATCAATTTTGTTTCTTCTTAGTAGCACCATATAATTTTGACTAGGGATAATGACTTAAAAAGGTAACGAAGTTTCAAAAATGTACAAAAAAGACCAATGTCTTTTTTTTAGTACACAAAATACCATTTTACCGGCTATTGTAGGTTACCCGGTTTTCAAATGTTCAAAAAAATACCATTGTTGTTTTTTTAGTACAAAAAATACCATTAATGTTACTATTTGTACACGGAATACC